AGAGAGAGAGAGAGAGAGTGGGGTGTCGCCCTGAGAGGCCCGTGGACCGCTTGGAGCGACAGACCTGGAGCTGCTCCTGACGCATATCCAAAGCAACCCTGGGACCGTGGACGAGACGGTGGGCGTGTTGATTTTGAGCGACTTCATTGCGACGGCCAACGAAAGAGCGGCGATGAAGTGCCTTTGAGGCATCGGGGCCATGATGGTGTCTCCGCCATGGCGACAGGGGTGGTGTAAGTATGGAAGGTGTAGTAACTACAGTGTAGTATGAAGGAAACACGCATAAATGTCAGAAGATGCGTGAGTCAGTTGGCATCAAGGCTGGCCGGGCTCCTCGAGACCTCCGGAAGTCGCGTGGTCTCCTTGGGCGTCATCGGCGCAAAGTACGACAGCGCCGTCGGGCGCGCAGTCGCAGCAGCCGGAGGTGGCCGATCTGTGCAGATTCCCTTGACATCCAAAGAAGTTCCCTCCGTCGTTTCAAAAGCCTGGCAAGACCTCACCGAGCCGCTCGGCTTGAACGCCAGTGCAGTGGCTTCGAGCGGTTGGGTTTGGCCAGAGACGTTCTTCGATTTGCAGCTTGGAGATGAAGTTATTGTCTACAGCGGTGGCCAGACGGGCCTGCAAGCGCAAGCGCCAGAGCTTCAGATTGCTGGCACAACCGTTTCCGCCAGTGCCGTTCAGGCCCCAGCCGCATCCTTCGGTTCACTGTTGTCTCGGGAAGCAACGAAGGCGCGCCTGGATCTCTTGGAATCGGAGCGCCAGCTGGCACAGAGTGCCGATGCAGCCTCACAGATAGAGTTTCAGATTGTCGAGCTCTCCGAGACAAGCCGAGTCATGACGCCTCATACAGCCTTGCTTGTGCTGGAAACTGACGAGGACTATGTACGTTACGAAATACCTCAAGATCGCCTTTCCCCCATTTTGGTGGTGACGTCATCGGGAGTTCAGTTGATGTCCCGATCAAACATCCACCTCCCAGCTCTGCCTGCCCCAATCGCTGCTGGGGACCTCCCCATAGTTGAACTGCCTCCGAACGAGACGGACGGCTCGAACAGCTCGAACGACACGGCCTGCGAAGTGTCAGACTCCGCAGCATGTACCCAGCCAGAAGATATCTTCTCAGCAGATGATGCCGGGGCTCAACTGGGGTCGGGGGACGACACGTTCCTTAGTTCCAGTGCAGGTGGCAGCACAAGAGGTAGCCTGAGCCTGTTTCTCGGTCTTCTTGTCTTCCTGATTTTGCAGCCCATGCAGGCAGAATGGGCCGACCCAGTCAAAGAAGCGGATAGAATCCTCAGCAAACACAGCACACCTCCAACGGAAAGGAACCGCGGTACCGCTTCAAGTTACGCGGGAGCTCTGTGGACAAAGCGCCGCGTGCAGGACTTGCGCAACTTCTGTGCCACATGGATTACCTGGGACCCAACGAACGGTTTGGCTTTCGAATATATGAGCAAGGCAGGGCAGTACCAGGGAGATTCCTCCCTGGCGTTGCGGGCAGCGACGTCCATTGCGGAAGTGAGACCCCGAGACTCGGAGCAGCTTTTGCGAGCCTCCTGGCTGGCGCTCACCTTGGCCTCGGACTCCCCCAAGGCGGCGGCCTACGCGCGGCGCTTCGCTCAAAGGTCCCTGGAGGAGCGAAACGACAACGTGAATACCTACCGAGCGTTGGCCATGGCGGCCTTTGAAGAAAAGGACTACACGTTGGCGGCCGAGACCTACGCGAGAGGCTTAGCGACCAGCTTCCATACGAGGTATGGGGATGTCCAAAGAGTGCTCGAAGAGGAGGCCGCGCTCTTCCTACGTGGCTTGTATGCCTCCGACAAGACGAAGCCACTCTTCCAAGAGTTTTCCACGGGCCTGCTGAAGACCGTGGACACCCAAAAAGGTGGCAGCATTGGACTTCGGATCACTCTTTCTTGGCTGACAGATGCAAACGACGTGGACTTGCATGTCATCGACCCCGACGGAAACGAATGCTATTATGGGAACAGAAACACCCCGTGGGGTCTGGAGCTCTACAGTGACCAGACCGCTGGCCTCGGGCCTGAGGTCGTGGTTGTAAGCGAGAAGAAAGGAACCTACAGGGTTGGTGTGAAGTACTTCAGCAGTGGGGCGATGGGCGCATCGAGGGGTACCGTGATCATTCGGCAGATTAACGGCGGTATATCCCGAGATCCTGTGATGGAAGTCTTCACGCTGCCTGCGGGATTGAGCTCGGTGCTGGAGGTGGCCACTTTCACTGTCAGCTGAGAAGGTTCTCCGATCTCTGTTCGCAGAAGCATGTTTATGACCGCTTTGGGGTCTCTGAGTCGAGAGGTACCCGGTCCGTACAGAAGGTGCGGGTACTCCGGCAACACGACACTGACATTACGACAAGATTGTTTTCTGTACAGCAGACATCGACCATATGTCCCCGACATTCCCAATGAAAGTATGCACAACGAAAAGGACGGCTTGCATGGGACAGCCTAATAAGCGATGGACCCCACTCCTACAGTAGCTCGTGGCAGAAGTCATGCTCGGGACCTTCAGGGTTTCGGCTTACTGTAAGGGTAGGGGCTTCTGGCTGCTGATGTGCCTGCACGGATCTTTCTGAAGACAGATAACAGAGAAGCCCAAAAGAACTGCATCGTTCTCAGCTATATAAGTCCACAAGCTCCGATGAACCTTCAACGCTGCTTTGAATTGCTTTGACCCCGTCGTGCCGAAATTCAAGTTTGACAGGTGCAGGATCCGCCAAGCCTCCGTGGAAGGCGTGCGTTACCGAAGTCATGCACAGCTTTTGCTGCTGCATCGTCGCAGTTGCTGCTCTCTCTTCGTAGTCTGCTGACAGAATAATTACGGAGTGAAGACGGTGGGCAAGAGCACGGGCGATTTTTATTGATCTCACTCAGTATGGGTATGCGAGGGCATCTGAACCAGCAGCTACAATTGCACCTGACCAGAAACAGGGACTGGAATCTCGAGAGTCTCGGCATAAGCCTGTCTGTGACGAGGTGTTTACTCTCGCAGTCGGCACTTTGAGTGCAGCTGTGTTGAAGCCTAAGCCAGTTCGCCCGCCCGAAAAGCTCGGCTGTGGATGCCAGTCCCAGATTCCAAGACCTGGGCATTGGCTGTCGCGTTTGCCGAAGGCCACAGATGCGACCCGAAGGTCGTCTCAAATCAAGTCATGCAAACTTCCGCGAACATACCCTTTGTCTCGTCCTTCTAAGCCATGCGAAGTACTAGCATGCACGACACAAGTCGTAGTCGTAGCCCACAACCTGCTCAGCTCTGACTTCGCATCCAAAGTCTCTGTTTGCAACAGCCGCACAATCGTTCCATGGCCTCTGTATATGCAAGTGCATAGACCATGACAGGTGGTGCAGCAGATGCCTCGGCAGCCGCTGCCTTTTCGAAGTGCACGCGACATCTGACGACGGCGCGGTGACTGCAGAGGTTTGGCTCTCCAGCCTCCCGGCTTCACCCAAGGGGCGCCAAAAGCCAAACAGAGCCACGGCGCGATGGTGTCGTGTGCCGTGCGCTGAGGAAGCGGCCTGCAGTCTCTGCGGAGCTTCACGGGCTCCTACGATGCCCCTCGCCCGGCCGTGCTTGGCGTACTTGCCCAGTAGGACAGCACACCTCAACGTGTCTCGAGGCAGCATCACGGACGTTGAAGGGCTCTGCAAATTCCAGCCAGGAGAGATGCAGCGTACTGTCGTGCCATGTCGTGCCCATCCACCTCTCACATGCCGTTGAGACAGGATTCGACGGCTTGGAGCGATACTGGTCTGGAGGAGCGACAGGTTCTGTGCACACAGACGTGCGCTTGCGCTCCAAAAATCTGCATGCGTCCGAGGAGATTTCGCTGACGCTTTCTGAAAATGGCTTGACGCTTTCCGGAAGCGCCGACTCCGAGGCAACTTTGTCATATTCGTCATGGCCTTTGTAAAGCCTGCGGCCTGCAAAAGCAAGGCTCACAAAAAACCCTCCGACGGCTGCTCCTGTTCGTCGCAGGAAGTAACGTTTCATCGCCGGACCAGCTGCAAGAGCTACGTGTGGTGTGCCCTTTGCGGCAGAGCAGGGGGGCAATGGAGTCCACGTGGACAAAGAGACTCAAAAAGAGATTCTGCCTTCAGGTGCTGGCAGTGAGAGCCTCGAAGCCAAGGACCTCGGAGCTGTTCTTCTTAACTGGGCTCTGATCGAAAAGTGACCTGCGCAGGACAGCCCAGTTTCTCGACAGGTGGTCCAATACGGTAAGCAAGAGAAGGCCACCATCATGTGTTCTGAGGTTTCTCCAAGCTGTTCGTGTCGCCGTGATTTCAGGCCGGCGACGAATTGATTCTGGGGCTTTCCAAGGCATCCCCCCTGGCGCCACTCTTTGTGGAAGCCTTCCTCAAGCCCAGCGGCCTGGCCCAGGCCAGGGTGGAGGTAAGGCTGCTGAGAGCTTGGGCTTAAAGCATGGCTTAGCCCTATGTGAGGAGCAAGGCGTGCGACCGGGTTGGTACCTGGCCATGATCCTCAGAGCGTACGGCACCGCAGGGGTTTTCTGCGTTGCCTCGGTCGGCTCAGGACTTGGACGCCACCCTCTTCGGTCCGGCCTCTGAGTCGGAGACGATGAAGGCCCCTTGGGCCCTTGGGGGCTTTCAGATGTCTCTCATTCTTTGCGAGTTTTCGGCTCTCGTCGAAGCCTGCAGGCAATCAAGGCCGAGCTTGGTGGCGACTTCCCAGACAACTTGGAGGATGCCTACAGGCATTGCAGAGGCCAAGGCACGTCACGGCTCCATCTCTGTCTTCAGCAGGCAGATTCACACTTTGTACAAGCACCTTTGCGACTGGCTGGCAAGACCAGGCTTAAGCACTCTTCTCAGCCTCTCAGCATCCATCATGAGAGTGCAGTGCCAGTGAAGCAATCTACAAGAGAAAGTGAACCAGTTCGGGGCGGTATCTGCGCAGGGACAAGGGGAGCCTGAGCCTGGCTTGAGGTCTGGTCTTCTGCAGTGCCGTGAAGGCAGAGTTGCTGCCGGCATGCTTGGTTCGTTTCGCCGGCAGCCCAAGGCACATGCTGCAAGACTATCTATACGCAGTAGCATGACGATGAGCATGTGTTTGCATGCGTTGTCTGTTATCTGTACGGCATAGTGCTTCTGCGGGTAGGCAGCAGCTGGGAGAGATGATGGAAGGCGCACGGCCAGCAGTCAGATAGACGGGGGGGGGGCTGTGCTTCAGTGGACCCAGTTGGCAGATGGGACCCTGACTGGTGACGGACTTCTTCGCAGCAGCCCGGCGCACGTGGCAGGAGTTCGTGCGACTTGGCTTGAAGATGTACTTCCTGGTGCGCACGTGCTGCCCACACTTGCCCGCAGCTTCTGCAGCAGGGTGGATGGCAGCTCGATGTGCAGAAGAGCGCCGAGCTGGCATCTCTGAATATTGAAAAGGCTTGGCGGTCCATTGCCAGGAGGACAGAAAGTCACCTCCTCGGCCTGTCAGGCCAAGGAGACGAGTGAGGCGATTGCGGAAATTCTGGACGGCGATTCCGAGAGGGTCTTGGCCTTTTCCTGTCCGGAGGGGGACGATGCATATGAACTGCAGGCCATGTAGTGTGGGAAAAACCTTTTCGCAACGGGGAAGATGTAAAGATCCAACACATTATTTGAAATTCTGTCCCTGCCTGGCAGGAAAGCTCAGATTGGATGGAGCCCTACGTCATGCCGGGAGCAGACACTGTGGCGATCAGGCGCATGATCTCAACATCCCGTGTGCCTGCGATACCCCGTCCTTGGAGTGTGTTCCACTGCGTGACAGGATTTCGACCAGTCCAGGCGAGGCAGAATGGGTACGTGACGGCTGGTTGGAGCTACCAAGTTTTGGCTTGATATGAACTTCGCAGGGAATTCTGACGAGCACCTGCTCGTGGTAGCAGTTCCCACAGGCCCGGAGTCTCAGTCCAGCAGTATGTGGCCGGCACAGCATCGGCATTCAAAGTCCACAGCGGTAACATCATCCACTTATTTTGCAGCTGTCGGCCTTGGCTCGCAACGCTTCGAAGCCGTAAGCTTCAGTGTGATGCGGTCAGTGACCAAAGGCGATGAGCTGGTGAAGCCATCGGCAGAGCAGCTGCAGAAGCTCGCGAGCAGCTCCTGCCTCAGCGGTTCCTTCGCGAACGTAGAGTTCAGAAACCCACGTTGCCAAAGGCTGGGAAGGAGCCTGTGATGGATTCTACGGGCTGAAGGGAGAAGAGGCACAGGAAGATCGATCTCGAATGCGTGTTCTTCTCAAGTTCGTTTGTGTCCCTGGACCAAGCTTCATCAAGCTTCATACCTAGCTTCTCCACGGCTGTATGCATCATCTAGCAGTGTGCATACAGAGCTGCTTCTACCCAGAGTCTAGAAGAGTGCAGAACAGCAACCCCTTGACTCGTTCTGCGGGTCGAGACGTGGAGGTGACGGTGGAGAGAGACAGCTGGGATGAAGTGCGACTGAGGGTGCCCTTGCTGCAAGGGAGACTTGAAACGGCGTCTGCCTCCCAAGCTTGGAGCCGGAGGCCCTGTGCGCCCATCATGGCTGGGACTTCTCATGGCCGCCGCCTCGCTGCCGTGTGCAGAGCGAGGGATCCTTTCACCTTTGCTGTCGGAGGATGAGCGAAGACGATGAACGCCGGAGGCGCATCGTCGAGGCCGCCGGTCGACAGGGGTCCTCGGGGTCTCCGGGGTCGTCGAAGCGTAGTGCGTCGATCGCCTTTTGCCACAGGGCTTCGCCGGCACTTAGCTCCGCGGCCACGGAAGGCTCGCTGTGCTGTGGAGCACTGGCACGGCATCTCCTGAGATTGCAGGTTGGATGATGGTATTGCAGATCCCGTGCCGGCTCTGGCCGGCTGTATACTAGCTAATGCACCCTTGCTGGAGTTCCAAAGTGTGGACGTGCCAAGCAATGGAAAAGGTCGACTGCTCCGAGCGCTGTCTTGCTTGAGAGAGTGCCACGCATCGCCCGGAGACTCCGCCTTTCGCCTTTCTTTGCGTCGGCTCGCAGATGATCTCAACCGGGCTTGGCACCCCGGGCCGGGCCGTGGTGAGATCCTCAGAGCCTCTTAAGGCGGACTTACGGAGAGTCCCCTTTTTCTCAGGTGGTTAACTTGCATCCGGCAGAGCCGGTGCAGCATCATGGGGCTGAGGAGCACCGGGGCCAGTGCCGTTGTTTCATGGCGGATTCTGCGCGCAGGTAGAATGTAAGTTTTCTGCCTGCAGATCGGGGCAAGGACACAGCGACGAAGATGACCTGTGCCGAAGATCCTTCTCTAGAGGTGCTGAGTGTGGAGGATGACAGTTGAGAATGATAGGGACGACTTTTTGACGACGCCTAAATGTGTTGTCCGCAGACACGTGCAGTTGAGTTGAACATTTCAGACAGGTGACAGGAGCGTTAGGGCGATGTGCGGAACTCGCCAATGATTCAAGAGTCGCGCAAGGCTTCACCTCGGCCCCACAATCAGAAATTCAGAAGACACAGGCACAGGCGGTACATGAAGATCCTCAGGAAGATCACGCTATATAGAATCGTCCGCGACCACTGGCATACACATGCAGTGACACTGCCCACGGTTCTCGACGGCAGACATCCCAGGCATGCTTAGATCGTAGGCCATAGGCATGAAAAAGGTCCGGAGGCCTTTACTTGTCAGCAGCCTTGACGGGAGCAGGCCCCTCTGCCGCGGAAGGATGAGAAAAACACCCAGGCGCCGATATACCCTAGCCCTTAAGAGCCTGCACGCAGTGTTCACCGTTCACAGGGTCTCATGGTCATTGACCTGGCCCTTGAGTTGCACAGACGAGCAAAGGCGCGAGTGCAGCCAGAACGAGATTCAGAGAGCGCGGGTGACACGACAGGACTTTGCCATGGCGGGTGATACCCTCCGGGCAAAGGCGTCTGGTGCCCAAGCTTCCATCTTCCATGCCTCGATGCCTTCCGACGTTCATGTGAGCCAAAGGCTCGTTGAAAGTAGTATCGACCAGCTTGTCACCGTCCCGACCTCATCGCACAGCAGCGCTCTCGTATGTCTACGCCTCACACTGTCGAGTCTGGACGCTATTGGCCAGGCCAAAGGCCTGGTGCCGGGTGGGCGGATCCTCCAGCTGCTCGATGGACTGCTCGAGGTGAAATCGGATCGGACGTCATCGGGGGGCGTCGTCGGGCGTCGTCGGGCGTCCGCTCCCGCGGTGTTTCGGAGCCTGCAGGCTTGGCACACGGAGGGCATCGTCCTGCAGGCTTGGAGACGCTGTCTCGCGGTGTGGCGACCGGGTCGGCTTGCCAGAGGCCGAGGACCACGACACCGTCGCGGAGCTCGAGAGCTGCGTGGCAGATGCGCTTCGCAAGGCGAACACCAAGGGCTACAGTAACAGTACCGGAGCTGCCTGACCAAGCAAGCACTGCCGGAGGTCGCGAAAGCACCGGTAGTAGCGGCAGCAGCAGCAAAGCTAGTCCTGGGAGGCCGGGAGGCAGTTGTGAGGTGCCTTTTTGGGATCAGGGTCGTCCGAACCTCCCAGGCTGCGGTACCACACCGAGCACAGCCTCCGATGCAACAACTGCACGAGGTTCCGCAATATTGCCACTTTTGAGCAGCCAGGTTATTGGCATTATTGCTTCTGTGAACTAGAGGTCATTTGTGTCCAGTATGGGATTTACCAGGGTAGCGAGATACGGGGCGGCACGAAAAACGAGATAGGCCATCATGTTCGTGTCCATGTTACATGCATTGAATGTATGGACGTGACATAAGTTTGCAATCTGCTTTGGTTCGCGACTCGAGCTGGCCTGCCCTACTCACCATTCTTGCTGTCCTTTTTGGGGCATGCGTTTGTTGTCACAGACGGTATCCTGTTCCAAACGAGATCTAAAAGCGTAGCCTGAGCCCCTATACAAGCCCATGGCCGAACTTTGGCACACCTGAAAAAGAACGAAAGGAAGTCCGTCCCTGAACAAGCAAATGAGAGATCTAGGGATGAAAGAGCACTGGCCACAGTGACACTACTTGAGCTTATGTTTGTATACCCATGCCTCAACAAACCACAGCACTTGACTCACTCGCTATGCTCAGCCAGACCCATGTAAAGGCAAACGCGATAAGGGGCCGCACGTCTGAAACAACCAACAAAGGCAGTCGCTTGAAAGAATCAGGTATGCATGCATGGAACTCATGGAAGTATGGATGTAGAATAGACCCACACACGCGCGTCCACTTTGCATTTGTGTATTCAGAAATCATGGTTTCAGCGTGAGCCGCGGAGGCGACTGCATTCCGATTGATCCGAAGAGCGGTGGCCTTCTCAACGCGGCGGCTGCAGCAGCAGAAGCCGGAAGCTCACCGAACTTGCAGAGTGCCCGGAGCTTTTTCTTCCTCCTTTGCCTGAGGCAAGGGTGGTGGATGATGGTGCCAGTGGTGTGGATTGGGATGCAGGCTTGGCCGTTGCCTCACGATGTGAATGTGCATCGCCTGCTGAGCAGGCAGTAGCCGCATTTCCTCCCAGCAGCCTACGCCTGTGGGTTCACCAGAGCCTCGGAGTCCACCCTCTGAGTTGGAGGAGCCCTGCGCGCTGTCTGCAGCTCCCAGCCTGGGTCATGGCACGGCAGTGCAGGTGGCAATGGAGCCTGCAAAGAACCTCCCGCCGAGCAGCAGCCGCATAGAGGATCCTCCCAAAGTAGAGGCCAGCATGATCCACCTAATTCGGGGCAGGATGCGTCTGCTCATCGTGCCCTCAGGTGCAACATCTGCAGCCTGTGCAGCGCCAAGATGCGCCAAATCTTGTGGAGGATCACCGAGGGGCCGTTTTGGTCAGGTGGAGGAGCCGATCCTCTTTGATCGAACTCCAGGAGGGGGAGCGGCGCTGGTTCCCGCTGTCCCCTCAGCGTCTTTCGGAAAAAGGCGCCAACAAAAAGTCGCACGACCTCTGAGGCCGGCATGCCTTCAGAGGTGGTCGCAGCACAGGCGCGGTACCGCTGAGCAATTGCGGCAGGATGTGCTTTTCGCTTGCAGGCAAAGCGCGGAGTTAGTGCAAAGAGGTGGCCGAAGCGTGAGCTTCCCAGATTCTCGGACCATATCTGACAGATCTGTCGATGCCGAAACGTGGGCCTCCAAAAAAAACAGGTTGGCTCTTTGGCCTCTGCTGGAGCAAACACACGGCGCCTGGAGAACCTTCCACGCAGAGGTGTGGAGCACTCAGGGAAGCCGAGACATCCCAGCAAAAGAGGCTTTCAATGCCACCTATCTGAAACCCAACCCGCCCGCGCTGAGGTCAACTCCGCCTTGCACGAGACTTCCACCGAGGGGATCTCATCGGTGCCGGCAGCTACGGTGCGGTCCTGGGTCCGCCCGTGTCCAGAGACTCCGAGCGAGAGGGCGGAAAGTGGCAGGCTGTGTCTTCGCTGCTCGGCGGAAGACGACGGGGGAGATCATGGCGGTCAAGGCCAAAGCCCTGAAACATGCTCTCGAAAGATGTCGCGACTTCAGCAGGAGATGCTCTTGGACCGGGCTGGGATCACCAAAGAAGAGCGCAGCGAGCGGTCGTGGACTCTGAGCAGGGAAGGGCCGGGCTGGCGGTACTGCGTCTATACTCGTGCCAAAGAAAACTTGAAAATAGACTGAACCAGACTGTTCTGTACGGTAGCACCTGCATGTAGGCTCGTGAAGCTGACCCGCGAGCTGCGGCTCTGCGAGCAGCCGTCGCCTTGGGAGCCGTCGGCTTGCGGAGCCGGCTTCGGCAGCGCGCAAGTTTCCTGCGCACGGCGCATTGTGAGGCTGGAGCACCCCTTCATCGTGAGCTACTTTGGCCACGAGTTCGTCATGGGAGCTCAGGGCGGCCATGGCCTCGGCGGCTAACAGCAGAAATCAAGTTGAAAGGTAAAGGGATGTGTCTACAGAGCTCGAATGTCCGCCGAGGCCCCGAGAAGTTGCACCTGTTCCTTGAGTACTGCAGTGGCGGAAGCCTCGCTGCGCACTGCCATCCTGCTTTCTCAAGTATGGGAACAACGCCAGGACTTCGTTCAAGTGTCTCCGTCGGGAGAGGGCAAGCCGTTGTTTGCCAGGCAGCTCCGTACCTACGGGCCCGTCAGTGAGGAGTTGCTCAGGACGGACGTCTCCCTAACCAAAGACCCTGAAGCCAGCCCAAAGTGCGCTGCGAGACAGGAAATACACGCAACAGCTGGTCGGTGGCCTGATGTATCTGCACTCTCGGAGCCCACCCGTCGTCCACTGCGACCTGAAATGCCCCTCGGCTGTGGCAGTTTTGCTACCTCCAGAAGCACCGGCTGGCAAGACGAATCGCAGTTGGAAGCCGAGGCGCCAACGTGTTGCTAACGCACAGCGGGGACGCCAGGACCACAGGCAACAGACAGAAAGGTCGTGAGCTGCATCATTGAAGCCAAGCCACTGCCCAACAAACAGCAGGGTTAGCTTCCGTCGCAAGTTGACTGCCATCAACATGGAGCGAATCGCTGATTTAGCCGCCTGCGCCGACGAGCAGAGGTGAGAGTATTCTAGATGACATTCGATCAGGAATTCTTGCAAGCTTGGGATCACTGGTGCTTGAGGTTAAGATCGCAGACTTCGGCTGCTCCAGGCCCCAACCTTTCGTGCCAAGAGCTGGTTTCAGTTTCCGGATCCTGTGACAAGGCCCAACTCCGTGAGAACGCGGATAACGGTCACAAACAGCATAAGTTGAGCGCCCAATCAACTATCCTTCCCCCTCTAGTTGCTTTTGCATGTGATTTCTGCCCCCAGATCCACGAACAGCATTGAACATGGAAGTCCTTGGTGCTTTCCCGCTTGCATACCTAGAAGAAGCCGAGAAGTCCTAACAGATCCACCTGGACCTAGCCACTGGATCGGGATCGTGTTGTTTTTGACAGAGGAACCGCACAGGCACTGTCATGGGATGTGGGGGTAGGCCAATGCAAAGAAGCAAACCAAGCGTTTCGCAGCCGGCCGGAAAAGATCGTTGGGGAGAATCCGAAACTGTAGGTGCGATTGTCAGGCCCCAATCCAGTATGTCGTATCGTCTGGGGCGTTTCTTCGCTCTAAAAAGGAATGGGAGGAGCCGTCTCTTCTGGTCTGAAGCCTTTGCACGGTCAGCATCCTTTCCCATCCATCTCTTCGAAAATGTTTGGCTCGATATTGTATTTGACAGGTGGATTCAACCTGGCGAAGCTGTCTTGGAGGCGGCTGTTCAGTTCTTGTGTCACATGGCTATCACACACAGAAGTCAGTCCTCCACAGCCGATCCTGCTCCGCTAAGAACTCCGTTGCGGGCTCTGTCTTCTGGATGGCTGCGGTCTCGGCACCATTCGGCGATGCTGAGGAGGTTGGGTAGGGCAACTCGGCAACGAATTGAGGCACCCGAACTTTTTCGAGGGCGCGGCAAGCTGACGACTACCTCGGATGCTCCCCGGATTTGACCATTGAGACAATCAAAACCAAACAGTGTGAGCAGCCGCAACTCACTTAGATCTGGTCCCTGGGCTGCTGTGTGTTGGAGATGGCCACTGGCAGTCCTCCTTGGTTCGAAAAGCGTTTCGACAATATCCTCCAGGCAGATTCAAGGTTGAGAGCGAACTCAACCGTTAGGAGGGGCGCGCAGGGCCCTGTTGAACAGGCTTGCCATGTCATCGCGAACTCGGAAGAGTTGCCGGCCATACCGGCAGAACTCTCCAAGCAGGCCAGGTCTCCAGGAATTCTCCCTGTGGTTTGATGCAACAACTGCATGAAGCTTCCGGTCTAAGGGAGCCCTCCTAAAAGCTCTAACAAACTCCAAGAACAACCCCCTTCCAACCATCCTTCACAAAACCTCAACAGCTTTCAAGCAAGCCTTCAAGCCTTCAAAATCATTCCAAACCTTATCAACAAGCCCTTAACACACCCTCAACAGGCCATAGTCAGGAGCCTCAAAGCCTTCAACGAACCTTCAGGAAAACCCCTCGAACAGCCCTGAACAAGCCTTCAGCGTGCAGGCCTCCATGTTGATCTGCGTTTGCTTAAAGCGGAACCCGCAAGAGCGGCAAGGGCCCTAGCAGAGCATTCGACCGGCTTCCACAGCTCTGCTCATGCTGAGGCCAACGGCGATTGAGCTGAACAAAAGCAAGATGTTGCGTGCCTGACCGGGTAAGAGAATTACCCGCAGCCCGTGTTGATAAGATGAGTTGATCTTTTCACTTCAGCAAACACCTCTCCGACCACGGCCTGCGGCTCGCGGGTCGAGGTCCTGGAACCTCAGGGCTGTGGTCTGCACACTTGGCTGTGTGTCGGCGCGTTCGATCAAAGCAGATCGCAAATCGCCGCTGTAGAGTTAGTAGACGCACGGCGAACACGTAGCGCAGCTCAATTCATCCAGTCGAGTTGGGCGAGTCTTGGCCACTTCTTTACACGAGCCGTGGAAGCAGACACAAGCCGCTCGTAGAATCAAAGCTTGTAAGTTTTGCGAGTTCTCTTGTTGTGCCAGGTGCAAAATGCGTCCATAGTCTGCTGGTTGCATGTCGCCGTTTCACTTTGCTGCGCTTGCATTCTCTTTTGGAGATTATGCTGGAGAAGTGCGGTGACTCAAACTGTCAAACGTGTTGTAGTGCTGGCCAGATTTATGGACTGCGCTTTTCCATTCAAGACACGACGTTGACACAACGTTGCCACGGGCCTGGCAGTTCCGAGGCATCTGACGAAGACACAAAGCATGATAGCATGCGCGATGCGGAGCATCCAGATCCAGTCCTGGACTATCGCTTAGCGCAGACAGACTGGTTCCTCCACAGTGAGAGCAGTCGGATGGCAGGGCTTCTACCCCCATTAATGCATGATTTGCTGATAATTCATGTCGTACGGCAGAGTCAAAACCGCAGCGGCGGGAGTTAAGCCCAGTAGCTGCGGAGCAGTCGCAGTATTGTTCCTGAACAGACTGGGAAGCAAGGCCGTCGCATCCAAGAAATAAACATCCGGCTAAATGTGCCTAGCAAACTGCTCCGAGCATGCTTCTTGCAGGCACCTTGCAGGCTTATCTGTACCTGGAAGACATTGGCTTGAGGTCTCCCGAATTAGATCTCTATCAGTTTGTGCAGAGTGATGTTGCGACAGCTGCAGCTAGCATTGGCGCCTCATGATTCGGGGACCTTTCTACTACAGCATGTTCAAGCTGTGCGAGCCCTAAGGCTATTCAAGATTAAATACCGGACGCCCGAAGCTCCGCCTCCTGTAAGTGTAGGCATTCGGTGCATCTCATGAGCTTCTAGATACTGGCGTCATAGGCCATAGGCTTGGTGGCTCTGTGCACCAACAAAGCTTGGCTTCTTCAATGCCGCCAGGATTTCTCTCCACCGCCTTACAGACAGCATAGGAGTTATGCCAATGGTTGAGCACGGGACTTCCAGCCATGCATGTCTGGCGTCATGAGGCCAATTCTCCCGAATTGATGGATGCCAATGCCAACATAGCTTAGAGTGTAGTTTGAGTCTGCTCAGACATGGTGGATTAGTGCAAGGGATGTTGCTCTGGTTTTACTTACGATGCCCAAAGTCAAAGATCCCGAGACGTCTTGATGCAGGAGTGCCGGAGGTTTGGAGACCAATCCAGACGGACACATCGTTCCAGCATCGTTCCTGCAGGTCGGACATTCGGTTTAGCATTGAATCATGGAAGTTGTGGCTTCATGCCTGCAGCTGCTGTTGTGGCGAAGCGGCGACGGCCGAAGCTTCGCTCAGCCCAACAACGTTATGCTAGACTGCATCCGTTGCACTGAGCAATTTGGTTAAAGATTTGGATATCGCCTCTTCCTGTCAAGATGATCACTGCGTTGAGATCATCTCTTCCAACTACGACGTTTGTGTCCCGGTGTGATGGTCTCGTTTCGGATTTGGGTTCCAGAAGCCATCAGCGAGATGCGCTCCCAAAAGAAACATGGCGGCTTCCATGACTCCATGACTTGTGCTGCAACCTTCCACCCGCAGCCTGCGCATCCGAGTGTGCTCGGCGTAAGCTTGGGCAGGTTCGGCACTGCAACTGCGCAATTCTTACGCCTGGTTGCTAGACATCGGGCCGCCATCATCCCCGTGCACCTCAGACCGCAGTGCCATTTCGTCGCCACCCAGCGCGCCTGCGCGGCATCGCTACGCGAACAGCGCGGCGAGGGACCGCGTCAGAGCGGCACGAGGTCCTCGCCGACTCCCGTAGTGGTTGGCCGCCACTTGCGTGCCTGTAGCCGACACATGGGACTACCACTGCAGACGGAACATACCGGGCACACTCTCCGTCCGCATCAACCGGCAGGACCGTCGCTCAGGACATCCTGGCTGCTGCGCTTGTCCTGCAACAGCCACTGCGCGAAGACCTGTCCCACCGCATGCGTGCAGTCGAAGGCGCCAGGTGACACAAAATACTAAGGCCACTTGGGAGTTCGCGGAGGGAACTTTTCTGGCGAGAGCATGCGAGAGCCCGAGCGTCCGATCCACCATGCAGCGAGCTGCAAACCACGGCAGACGTAACCCGACACCTCGTCAGCGAGCACTGAAATCGCAGCTCTGTCCAGGCCGCGTGGGTTTTCCGATGGAGTACATCTCCATTGCGGCGCTGCGCGCACTCGCCGCCACTTTCCTGGAGCCCCCCATTCGGGACGACTCGGTGCTGCTGGCCCTCCCCCAGCACTGCACAGCACCGCACCAGCTCGTTGCGCACGTTGGTTGGCAGGAGGCCCCTCAACATCCCTCAACCCGTCCGCCTCCCTGCCCGTGTTTCAAGCCGCCTCCGTGTAGGTCGCAGTTGGCACCGCGACCTGGACGCCGTTTGACCTGCAGTCGCAAAAAGCAGCGGGGGATTGCAGCGGGACGAAATGCTTTGATGTTCCCGCATCCAGCACGCCCCACCCCCTTTGCCGCGGACGCCAGGGCTGGGCGCGCTGTTGGTGCAGCGTGTTGTCCGTCGCCCTGCAGCGCATGCCGCCGCTACCGGTCGCACGGGGCGCGCTCCCGTTGGGCGACGACGTGCTTGACCTCGCGAATGCGAGCGCCCCTAGTCGGCTGCCACTGCGAGGTCGACGTCGTCCAAAGTTCGCTTTGGCCAGGGCCACTCGATCCGGGCAGACTGGGACTGGATGGCGATCGTCATTGTCGTCACTCGCCGGGCCGGGCTGCGACCGTCGCGCGTGCGCGCATCAAGCTCGGCGTTTTCGCTGGTGTGAGCGTGCCTAAAGTGTTCGCGTGTGAGCCGCAAAAGCGACTGCTACGCCTCCGTGTGTTTGGATTGCACCCGACAGGGGTAGAGGCGCAGGCGGCAGAGTGGTCAGCACGTCGGTGGATGCAACGGCCGTGGCCACTCGATGCACGTAAGCTCGGCGTGGAGGAAGCGGGGAAGGGTGGAAGGCTGCGTGACAGGCGCTCGCCGCAACAAGCGCACGCCGATTTGGGGATGGCCTTGCCGCAGAATTGGAAAGAGCATTTTCTTCTGAGCGTACAGAGCTACCAGTCCCAGGCGGAAGACCGAGATGGCAACCAGCGGCATCGAAAGCCATCACCACGCGCGCGCTCAACGTCTCGGGCGCTGCTGCTGTCCCAAGAGGCGATGCGGCGAGCTGCGGCTGCGTCTTCACGGCCTTACTGGCGAATGCTCGGTGCCGGACGAGGACGTGTATCTGAAGATGGCTTTCTTGACTCCGCACATCACGTGTTATGCTATGTGAAGCCTTACAAAAAACGATAAGCCCGACAGGACAGTCGGGTAAGTTTGTGTGGCGAACCCAACACCCCGCAAAAAGATGATGGGTGGCAAACCACTGGTTCCCAAGAAAACCCAATTACACAAGAGATGCTGGTTAGCAGAAAAACGTAGTAGGTGGCCAACCTTATTTATACATGAATAAACCTGAAAATAATATCCCGAATGAGAATGAATTAGGGATAGCAGCCCCACAAAATTTCAAAGGTATTGTGGATGGCAAACCATTAACCCCATACGGTGTTACTCAGACATGAAACATCCTCATAAGCCCGACCCCAAGTAGGTCAAGGGAATTGTTGTATTTGCAGACATCTTGGGGGAGATGACATTGACAGCACACACCTTAAATTCTATGAAACTCAAACTTCGATGGAGATGCAGGATCTCCCCCCCAAAAAATCAACATCCTTCGAGACAGATGCCCGGAACACTAGAATCAATGAGCTTACGGGAATGTGGTTCAAGAAAAGTGCAGATGCCACAAGACAAGATGTGGTTCTGATTTCCCATAAGAAGGGGTGTTGCAATACTAGGAATGTATATCTTAAAACTTGAGGAAAAACATAGATTCCTCGAAAATACGCCGCGATGGCGTACCAGTCTCTGGTGTTCTGGGTTCATGATGAACCACAATAGCCAAATGCGGGGATGTGTTCAAGATATTTTTAAGATGAACCTGCATGCTTATGTATATGTTATGATGAACCGGAATCGCCAAATGAGGGGGGCTGTTTAAGATGTATGATGAACCGGATGCTCAAGTTATCAGAGTAGTAGTACAGCATTGGCCCAATACAAAAAAAATATAAGATGAACAGAATAGCCAAGTGGGGGGCGGCGTGTGTAAGATTCGTCATGAATCGGAATCGCCAAGTGAGGGGGCCGGCTCAACATATATGATGAACCGGAATCGCCAAGTGAGGGGTGTTCATGGTGTATGTATTCAAAGTTATGAGGATTGGAAGGTGATGGCGTAGCCGTGACGATGCTGTAATGACTAGCTGTGTCAACTAGAGGATTCAGCTGAAGACGCATTCGTACTGCGTGTTTGCCATCTAGAGGATGTTACAGGCCTGGGCCCAACCTCGAGGCTCATCGGACCCTAACCCCATCCATCCCACATATAATCCCACATCACAACCATTTTTACTCGTGACTTGAGCCATGTCCGATGGCGTGTCATTCTGGAGTGAGGACCACACTAATTTTATCAGCGCAGCTACAATATGATTTACCGGTATCGCCAATTGAGGGGAAAAAAGGGTGCATGTTTAAGATATAGGCCGACTCACTTCGGAAATTCGTGCAGCTCCCCGATGTCCAGTGCGCCTGGCTCTTGCTCGCTTTCTGCGCGGCGCCTCGTGCACAGCATTTGCTCCGCAACGTACCCCCAGCCGACATCCTG